ACATATCCATCAGTGCAAATGGAAATGGTACGATTAAAGTGGAGAACAATATACAGCCAAGGGAAACCACGGAGGTATCAACGAGAATAGGGCTGCAGAATATTGCGCGGCGCTATTCGCTCCTCGGTGAAAAAGAAATCGTAATTGAGCATAATGAAAAAAAATTCAAGGTAGAATTGCCATTGATAAAGTTAAATTAATGCATCATGAATGTAGTGATCGTGGAAGATGAAGTGCCGGCTGCTGAGAGGTTGAAATACCTGCTGCAGGCGCATGACCCATCGATTAATGTGACAGCCTGTCTTGACAGCATTAATGAAACAGTAGGTTACTTAAGCTCGCAACCACATCCTGATATTCTGTTTCTTGATATCCATTTATCAGATGGGCATAGCTTTGAAATATTCAATCGCGTGCAGTATAACAAACCAGTCGTATTTACAACTGCCTATGACAGGTATGCGCTTGATGCATTTAAGGTGCTTTGTATCGATTACATTCTCAAACCGATCACACAAGATGCATTGAAAACCGCAATAGGTAAATTAAAAAGCCTGTCCCTCGAGATATTACCTCAGTATTTACCCGGGCAACAGGCCACAGTTAAAAACAGTTACACGAACCAATTTTTTACGCGAATAGGGCAGCGTCATTTTTTCGTGAAAGAAGAAGATATTGTTTATTTCCAGGCCGATAATAAGGTCGTTTTTATTGTCGATAATACCGGTCATCGATATATTATTGACCAAACGCTGGAAAAGATTCAGGAGATAGCTGATCCCCATTTGTTCTTCCGTATCAGCAGGCGATTCATTGTGCGCCGGTCGGCGATTGCAGAAGTAAAGCCTTATTTAAACAGCCGGTTGCAGATTATGTTGAACCGGCCACCTATGACATTACCTCTTATCATCAGCCGCGATCGTGTACCCGCATTCCGGCAATGGTTACGCAAATGATGCGGGTTTTATTGCCCTGAGCATTTCCCGCTTTCCGGGAGGTCCGGGGAGTTTTTCCGTACTGAAGCCGGCAGCCTGCATCGAACGCCGCACATCTCCTTTACTGCAGTAGGTGACCAGTTTTCCGCCAGGTGCCATCATATTTATCAATTTCCGGAATATATCGGTTGACCACAATTCCGGTTGGGACGATGGAGCGAATGCATCGTAATAAACGAGATCAAACACACGGTTGGGAGAGAAATTTTCCATCGAACTTTTTATTTTGTGCAGGGTGAACCAGTCGCTGATAGCTGAATTATCGTTCCAGGGCGAATTGTGCAATTTCTCAAAGAAAGGTTGATAGTTTGGTTGGTGTAACCGTTCGCAATAATTGAGTCCGCTATAAACCTCCGGTGAAAGAGGATGCAGGTCGATGGTAGTGTAGTGTACAGGTCGCTTGTTACTATCTGCTTTTAGCAGGGTCAGTAATGCATTCAGACCTGTGCCAAAACCCATTTCGAAAATTTGCAGGGTACCGTTGGCAGGAAACGTATTAAACCCGTGGAAGATAAAAACATGTTGCGATTC